TTTTTTTCAATTTTTATTATTCAATTTTTTTTTTAATTTTTTGGCATTCTAAACAAATAGCAAGAAATTTTAACCCTTTCATTGACAATTTTCATGAAAAATAAAATCAAAGAGACCAGGTGAAAAATTATACCAATCAAACACAATTAAATTACAATTCACAGTAAAACAAATTTTAGGCAATTCAATTCTCAGTAAAACATTTTCTTTCCACCCATTTTCGACTTTTACAATCAAACGGACCCTAATTGTTACTATTTACCCAAGAACAATGCAAACCAAATCTCCGTCGAATTAGTCAAATACCAACCGTGTCGACACATGATTTTTTTATTATTATTTTTCACTCACAACACATGGCAACGTCTGATTGGAGGTTGCTTAAAAAAAAGGCCATACATGTGCTGCCAACACAACACATATAACAGATATGTAAATAATTTCTCTGTACAAGGGGAATTGTTCGTCAAATACCCATGTAGATTAAAAATTTAGTAATTACATCAGAGAATACGACAAGTAAAACTGGAAGAAGAGGAGGAAGAGGAAGAGGAAATTGAGATATTTCATGGAGTTATGCATGTGTAGCTGAACTCGTAAATGCGGTTTAGCCCTTGTTTGATCTCATTATTTTCAAAATACATTTTTCTCTACCTTCTTTTCAATCAAATATTTTTCAATAAAATAATATTACACTTAAATTCAAAAAAATTTCTTATTATTTAATCACACATTCTCCATCAANTTGTTTAAGCTACAATAAAATTTTCATTCTTATTCTTCTATTCATTTTCAACCATACATTTTTCAATAAAATAATATTTTCCATCACATCAATAACTTTTCCTTATTTTTCAACCACACATTCTCCATCAATCTACTAATTCAAAATTCATTCTTAACAAAAAATGGGACTCAAACATGCTCTTAACAAGAAAAGATGTACGAAAGAAGTGATGATTAATTCTTGTTTAGGTTGAAAATCAATGATTCATTTTTAATTAACAGTCTTCTCAAGATGAAAATAATTTTATCCTTATACGTAAGCATAATAATCTCAAATCATATTGCGAACATATAAGTATGCATTAAAACACAAAGATCATTATTCACGATATCATGGAGCATAATAGTATATCGGTATCTATTATTAGATCCTATATTTTTTTATTGCCATGTGCTAAATTTATACCGTACCTCTCTAAAGCAATATAAATCACAAACTCGTCTTAATGGTGATAAGCATTAAAACAAATCAATTGAATAATAAATAATCAACCAATAAACAAGAATGAAAACAAAAATGAGCAACTTCGAATTAAAGTAGTTTAC